TTGTTTTTATTGTATGTCAGCTGTTTTGACAGGTAATGTAATAATTTGCTTTAGTGGAAGAAAACTAAGTAAATTCAACTTGGTGGTAACATTTGTATAAAGAAGATGCATTTAAGTGACTTTATTCAGATAAATTCTGTTTACACATTTTAAATAAGTTTGTAGAACTGCTGCATATGTGTGTAACTTCGATTAACTAAATGGAATTAGTTCAATTAACTTAATTTACCCAAGTTACATTAACAATAAATCTTTGAGCTACTTCTACTTAAATCAAATATTTTTCATGCTTAAATTGTTTGAGTTAATAAACTTAAACGTTTAAGGCAATCGGTTTCAGTTTGAGTTGAACTAACTCATCAGGTTTTACAGTGTAGTTACAACTAAAAGTACATACACAGCCCTGCGAGACACATGAAGAGAACTGAATGCAGATACTTGTATGTAAATGAATAGTGACTGTGACCTAAATTTGAAGAAAATGAACACAACCCAATCTAAATTCTGATCTACATACTGAGGCTGTTTTAACATTTGAAGACTGAGCTGGATGTGTTGATGATGATGAAATATCTGAGGTGGTGTTCAGAGGAAAGGGGTGTGTGTTTGGGGCAGCATAAATTGTGTTAGCTACTTCATTGAAAGACAATGGAGGACAAGATGTTGTGTGTAGTGTCACCCATGTGCTTCTGCACCACTATTGTGTGCTCTCCTTCCCTGGGAGAGGGGAGACGGAGGGGTGAAAGGAGGAGGGGGAGGATGTGGGAGGAGGTGGGTTAGTTGACTTGCTGTATGTGTGCGTATGTGCGTGTGTGTGCGCGCGGGGAGAAGCACAGACGGCTCGTGGTAATTTGATGTGTGTCCCCGGGGATGTTTGATGGATTAATGCTAAGCAGCTCCCTCTTCCAAAGCACCACCTGATCTTTGGGGCTCGTGCCCCACATATAAAAGGCTGCAGTAGTGCTGAGCTCAGCTAGTCCAGCCATCTCCCTCTCTCTCTCTATCTCTCTCTCTGCCTCGCCACTTTCTGTCTTCCTCTCCATCCTCCCTGTCCTCTGCTTTCTCTCTCTCCTTGCTGCTTTCACCACATTTTCTCTTTCTCTTTCCCTCAGGCTTTAAACCATTTCCAGGACAGATTTTTTTGCAAACCTTTTTTCCATCCCTCCGTTGTTTGGCCTGTTGAAAAAGGCCGCCTGGAAGATTAGTACATTTCTCCTCTTTTTTCTTATCACCAATACGTTCACATTCTTCTATGAGGCTCTAGCATCAGTCTTTTCATAAGGGAAAAAAAATGCCACGCTCCTTTTTGGTGAAGCAGCCGAAGGTTCACGACTTCTCCTCTTCCAACTACTACCATCAGCACCAGCAGCACTGGGACGAGTCCTACACTGTGACACATGCCATCACAGAGTCAGCCACCAACTTGGCGGTGCGTTTAAGTGAAAATGGTGAGTTGACATCTCTCTGAGTTGAACTTTTCTGTGTGTATTTCTGCTGCTGCAGCTGTTGGCTTCTTCATTTAGAGACAATCAGTATGGTCAAAAATGGGGAAAGAAATCTAAACCAACAGACAGGGATTCATGCAATGATGTTCATGTTGTTGTCTCTGCTAGCTAATCGCTCTTGGAAACCCCCAAAATCCCCCCACAGGCATTGCTTGCCCCCCTTCTGTACGCCTCAGGACTTTTGTTTTCTAACTCGGCGGATGCTAAATAGTATTCAGGTCACGCTGGCTCAATCTGCTTAATACTCAAACCAGATCACACAGCAGCCTTTGGCTTTAATACTATTGTGTACATGAATGATGAGATATACGTGTACACAGGCATTAGGCACAAAATCTGATGCAAGCCTTTGTCAGGTCCAACTAGAAAGAAGGGGGGGGGGGGGACTCAGGAGAAAGCAGATAGCCACATGGGACTGTGTTGTCCTTAGATGGTGCAGTTGCCCTTGAGTCTCTCCTCTTATCAACCCCCCCCCTCCCTCGTTCATCTCTCCATCTCTCTCCATCTGATCCTGCAGGATGTTAGATAGCCACAGGGAGTAGAATTGCAGCAACACAATCCATATGTGGAGCAGCGAGAGGTGATGGAACAGGGTTTTTAGAGGATGGGTATTGACTGGAAAATAGAGAGTGCTGCAGGTAATTCAATAAAGTGCAACATGAGCAGTACATTGGCAGACAGTAGATTTTCATCCGTGGGATTTCTGGAGAGGCTGGATGTGAGAACAACCCTGCAAACAAACAATATGGCGTGTGTGTGTGTGTGTGTGTGTGTGTGTTTGGCTTTGAGAAACATCCAAAGAAATGTGTGCTTTGAGCGGATTCACCCCCCCACCACCTCCACCAGCATCACAGATCTTGTGTTTGAGTTGAATCATTTGTCCCCCAGA